CCTATCAAAATACCAATGACATTCTTCACATAAATAGAAAAAATAATCCTAAAATTTATATAGAACCACCAAAGAGCTATTTAGCCAAAATAGCTAAAGCTATCCTAAGCAGAAAGAACAAAACTCAAGGAATACAATTACCTGACTTCAAATTATCCTACAGAGCTATAGTAATCTAAACAGCATGGTACTGGCATAAAATCACATAGACCAATGGAACAGAATAGAGAACCCAGAAACAAATCCACACACCTATGGCAAACTCATTTTTGATAAAGCTGCCAAGAACATACACTGAGGAAAAGAAAGTCTTTTTAATAAATGGTGCTGGGAAAACTAAATATCCATAGGCAAAATAATCCAGACACCCCTCTCTCTCCATATACAACTATCAAACCAAAATGATTACAGACTTAAATCTAAGACCTCATACTGTGAAACTACTACAAAAAAGCATTGGGGAAACCCTCCAAGACATTAGCCTGGGCAAAGAATTTCCTAAGTAATACCTCACAAGAACAGAAATCCAAAACTAATATGGACAAATGGGGTCATGTCAAGTTAAAAAGATTCTGCCCAGCAAAGGAAACAATCAGCAAAGTGAAAAGACAACCCACAGAATGAGAGAAAATATTTGCAAATTACCCATCTGATAAAAGTTTAAAAATCAGAAGATATAAGGAGATCAAACAGCTCTATAAGATAAAATCTAATAATCTGATTTAAAAATCGGCAAAGATTGAAATAGACATTTTTCAAAAGAAGATATACAAATGGCAAGCAGGCATATGAAAATGTGTTCAACATCAATGATTATCAGAGAAATACAAATCAAAACTACAATGAGGTATTATCTCACCCCAGTTAAACTGGCTTTTTTCCAAAAGTCAGACAATAACAAATGGTGACAAGGATGTGGAGAAAAGGGAATGCCTTCATACTCTGTTGGTGGGAATGTAAATTAGTACAACCACTATGGAGAACAGTTTGGAGGTTCCTCAAAAAACTGAAAATAGAGCCACTATACAAGCTAGCAATCCCACTGCTGGGTATACACCCAAAAGAAAGGAAATCAGTATATCAAAGAGATACCTGCTCTTTAGTGTTTGTTGCAGCACTGTTCACGTTAGCCAAGATTTGGAAGCAACCTCTATCCACTGTGTGTAAGTACCACATTTTCTTTATCCATTCATCTGAATAAAGAAAATGTGGTACTTATACACAATTGAGTTCTATTCAGCCATAAAAAAAGAATGTTATCAAGTTATTTGCATCAACATGGAAGAAACTGGAGATCATTATGTTAAGTGAAATAAACCAGACACAGAAAGGCAAGCATCACATGTTCTCACTTATTTGTGGGATCTAAAAATCAAAACAATTGAACTTTTGGAGATAGAGAGTAGAAGGGTGGTTACCAGAGGCTGGGAAGGGAAGTGGGGGACTGGGTTGGGGGAAGGAGGCAGGGATTGTCAATGGGTATAAATAAATATAATTTGAAATAATAAATAAGACCTAGTATTTGATATTGCAAGAGAGTAACTATAGTCAATAATAATTTAATTGTACATTTAAAATAACTGAAGGAGTATAATTGGATTGTTTATAAGACAAAGGATAAATGCTTGAGGGGTAAGATACTCCAGTTTTCATGATGTGATTAATAATAATATCGAAACTGCTCTCCATAGCAACATTGTGTGCCTGTATCAAAACATCTCATGTACACCACAAGTATATACACTTACTATGTACCCATAAAAATTAATTAAAACAACATAAAAAATAGACATTGATTTGTTTGCTTCCAATACATGACACCATAAGCCATGGCATGGAGTGGCAAAAAATGTTTCTTAAATTGTTACTTGTAGTTTCATCTGTAATCAAATGCCCATAGAAGGCAATATTTTGAATTACCACATAGTTGCTGCTGTAGAACACTTTAATAAAAATGAATATAATGATGTTGGTTGGGTTGCATTGGAAAATGTAGAGAAAGAAACTGAGTTCAGAGTTTTTAATTCCAAGATCAAGGTCTATGTAATGGATTAGAAAAGTTCTATTACTGCTGTAAGAGAAACAGCATTTCCTAGGAAATTTCCCAAACCCAAAGTCTAATATGGAGAGTGATTGAATTATAATTCAACACAATTTTTCAGGGTTTCTTATATTAGAAATAAGGCATTGACTGAGAAGGAGTAGGGCCATGAAAATTGGGATGGAGACACAAGGGCTGATTCTGATGATGTGGAGGTACCTGAACTTTTACATTTTGTGGAGGCTCATTTGCCAGTAGAAGCTGTCTTTTCTCCTAAATTTGAGGAATACACTCTTCACTTTTCTCAAGAACTTAGTTTTCCTGGCCTGAGACCTTGATGTGATGAGGAATGCTGATGTCCTCTACATATATCCTACTACCTCTCTTTGTTTCTAGATATATTAGGTTGGTGCAAATGTATTAATTTTGCATCAACCTGATATAAGATTCAGTTTTTTATGCTTTTGTATCAGATAACACTTATGACCAGAATAGAGGTACAGCACACATAAAGAGAATTATATAACTTATATTTATTTTAACTAAAACCTGGGGAATATGTATGGAAATGAATTAAAAGGATGTTGGTCAGAATGGGTGGATATAATTTGGGTCAGGTTGAAGGTATTGAAATTGATTCACTTAAGCAAAAATTCCATATTCAATGTGCTCTAAGTGGCTGGTAAATCGTTCTTACTTTTGGCTTTGTTAGTTGACTGAAGTTGAGCTACAAGAACTCCCCTGGTATACTATAGAAGATGGTATCAAAAGACTTAGGGATATATGAATGTAGAGATAAGAGTTAAGTTGTAAGAACTGCTTATATACATTGGTGAAGGGAATATCGTCAGCCTTGATAAGCTCTGTAGTAGCTTTCTGTAGGCCAGGAATGACAGTAAGTTGCCTTGCCATTAAAATAGAATCCCTGAAATAAATAGGGATGGTGGAATCCCAAGGTGGCTGGGGCCAAGTGGCAGCACTGGACTGCCAGAGACAACAAGCATAGAATTTGTGTAATGGGTAGCAGATTTGAAGCAGTGATGAGAATGATTTCACCTACAGAGAATGTTGTCATTGGCTACTTGATCATGGTAGCTCAAGGACTGAAATTCATGAGGAGCTTGCTATAAAGTCTTACTTGATGTGTAGAAATGGAAAGGAGAGTCTGGTGAACAGAAGTTTAACTTGGATCATTAGAGAATTTATTTCCATTTGTGAGCCAGTTCATACTTTCAGGGTTCTTTGGATGAAGAGGAACCAGGTTCCTTTAGGGAAGGACTCTGCGCTTCCAAAAACTCATCTAGTATATTTTTCTCTAGCTTTCTCCAAAAGGATTTGTGGCCATTTACAAGGGTGCACTGAAAAAAGGGGAAGGTACCATCCTATTAAGGAATTATATGACGCTGGTTCTGAGCTGCCAGGAAGTCCTAGAGACACAAGATACCACTCTGATCCACCAGTCAAACGAGGGACTTTGGAGATCAAGATATTAATTATATTTTAGGTTGAGGATCTCTCCCTGGGAGACCACTGGGTTCCCAAATCCACCCTGGGGTTATTTCCCAGTTCCGGAATGTTTAATTTGAATAGGCACACTAAACAATTGGCACAATACCCTTGTTGATTTCTTGACCCATGGATTGAGGGTTTTTATTGGTAAGAAAGGTCAAGGGAAAAGAATCTAGAGGAGCCTCTACTTATAAATACAGTGAGCCAAAGACAACGTCACCTTCCTTGAAGAGTTTCAAGATTAATGCCATATCAAAAACTTGAGAATGTAGAAATGATGATTTCTAGCATATTCCCATTCAACTCTCCTATTTAGCCTGTGCAGGAGAAGACAGATGTTGGAGAAAGTCTTAATCATGTGGTACATTTAATTGCAGCAGCTGTCTCAGATCTGGTTTCATCACTGGAGCAGATAAAAAAATTCCCTGTCATACATTTACTGATTTGGTGAATGGTTCTTTGTTTGTCTGTTTGTATGTTTCCTTGCCTATTGCTAGAGACCACCAAACACAGTTAGCTTTCATGTGGCATGGCTAGCAAGACATTTTCCCTATTCTACTTCGGGGATGTGGCAACTTTCCTGCTCTCTGTCATAATCTAATCAAGGGTCCTTGATTATCTCTTCATTTCACAGAACATTCAATTGTTCCACTATGTAGATGATGTATAATGACTGTACCCGGTGAGAAGAAAGTGGAAACTACCCTAGACATCTTGATAGTGCACATGTATACCAGAAGGGAGTAAATAAATTCCAAAATATTAAAACACCTGTACCTCAGGACAATTGTTTAAGGTTACGATAATCTGGGGCATGTCAAGATATGTCCTTCCAACGTCAAAGATAAATTTTTGTATCTGGCTCCTCCTACCATATAGAAAGAGACTCAGTGTTCCATAGGACCTTTCAGATTATAAAGATCACATATATCTTATTTATTGAGTACCTTGAAAAGCTGCAATTTTGAGTGAGACCCAGATGAAGAAAATTCAGGACTGAGACATATCACACAGCAGGTCGAATGATACTTGAAATGTCTGTCCTTCAGTTAACAAGTCTCTTTTTGCGATACTTCTGGCTTGCTATTCGATCCCACAAGAGCCTGAACTATCATTATGGGTGATCAAATTATCATTTAATCCGACTTGCCCATCATAAATTGGTTTTTTTCTGACCCATTAAGCCCTACATTGGGGTACATAGAGCTTCATTTCACCACTAAATGGAAGCGGTATATACAAGATCAAGCTTGAGCACATCCTGAAGGCACAAACAAGTTGGATTTGCAATGACACAGATTCTCAGGGTGTCTACTCCTCTTATATATTCTCTTATCTTTCAACTCGCACTTACTGGCTAACCTACTGAGGGAAAAATTTTTTTGGATTTTCAGATGCTTCTGCCTGGTATACTGACACTATCTGAAATAACAAATGATTTTGTTTATAGGGAACATGATTTCGTGTCAAAGAGATCTGCAGAAGTGGTATATGGAAAAACATCTCCAAGTGTACAGTGTGAAGATATCCGCGTCTTAATGTAAGTACTCAACAAAAATCATTCTTAACAGAGGGGAGCTTAGTAACTGGATGGTCAAGATAACTTATTTTGTAGATGTCAGTCACCGGTCACCTTGTTTGTGCCCAACAGGCACATAAATGAAATGTTCATTGGTTCAGCAAACTGGGCTTTTACTTACCACGGACAATCTGGTTAGAGCTATTTCCGAGTGCCCCACATGCCAATAGTAGAGGCCAACACTTGGTTTTAGTATGACATTATTCTCCAGGGGTCCCAGCCAGTGACCTATTGGCAGATTGATTATATTGAGTAGCTTCTATAGTGGAAGAGGCAGTGCATTTTTTTTTTTTTTTCTGGAATAGGTATTCTGGCTATGATTTTGTTTCCTCATCCCAAAATGCTTCTTCTAAAACCATCATCCTTGAACTTTCAGATGCCTTATTCACTGTCATAGTTCACATAGCATTGTTTTTGACATGGAAATTAAGTTTACAGCAAATAAAATGTGGCATTGGCACATGCTAATAAAATTTATTGATGTTATTATGTCCCCATCTAATATGATTTTGCTGTGTCCCCACCCAAATCTCATCTTGAATTGTAGCTCCCATAATTCTCATGTGTCATGGGAGGGACTCGGGTGGAGATCATTGAATCACGGGGGTGGTTTCCCCCACATTGTTCTCATAGTAGTCTCATATGATCTGATGGTTTTATAAGTGGGAGTTCCACTGCACAAGCTCTCTTGTCTGCCACCATGTAAGATGTGCCTTTCTCCTCCTTTGTCTTCTACCATGATGGTAAGTCCTCCCCAGCCATGAGGAGCTGTGAGTCCATTAAAGCCTTTTTTGTTTATAAATTATTCAATCTTGAGTATGTCTTTATTAGAAGCATGAAAACTGACTAATACACCATCAACCCGAAGCAGCTGACCTGATGGGTTAAGTGGTTTTTGGAATATTCAGTTATGGCACTGGCTGGGTGACAATGCTTTGAAGGCTGGGATAATGTCCTCTGGGATACAGCATATGCTCTGACTCAGTGACCAATGCATAGTGCCGTTTTTCTACAAGCTAGGATTCCCAGGTCCATGAATGAAGGGCTGAAAATGGAAATAACTTCTGTCATTATTACACTTAATAACCCAGTAGTGACATTTTTGCTTCTGTCCCTGTAACTTTGGATTCTTCCGGTCCAAAGTTCTTCCCTGCTTGATATCCAGCTCTTATTTCATAATGAGAACTTTCAAATTTGAGAGTTTACCAGTCTTTTATTTTATAATTATACTTTAAGTTCTGGGATACATGTGCAGAACGTGCAGGTTTGTTAACATAGGTATACATGTGCCATGGTGGTTTGCTGCACCCATCAACCCATCATCTACATTAGGTATTTCTCCTAATGCTATCCCTCCCCTAGCCTCCTACGCCCCCTCACAGGCCCTGGTGTGTGATGTTCCCCTCCGTGTGTCCATGTGTTCTCATTGTTCAACTCCCACTTATGAGTGAGAACATGTGGTGTTTGGTTTTCTGTTCCTGTGTTAGTTTGTTGAGAATAATGGTTTCCAACTTCATCCATGTCCCTGCAAAGGACATGAGCTCATCCTTTTTTATGGCTACATAGTATTCCATGGTGTATATGTGCCACATTTTCTTTATTCAGTCTATCATTGAGAGATTACCTAAGTCTTATTTGCGTCCACCTGGGCATGGTGTTTGGGGATACAAAAGCCAAGGAGAGATTGATACTCTATCTTTTAGGCTCCTCCTTTCACCTTCTACACCATACTATACTCAATAAGTAAGTAAGTTGTGTTTAAAATTTGGCAATATCCATGACAAGTCATAGACTATTTCATTGTTATGAATCTCAGAATTTGCCAGAATTCTGCCAAAGGGCTCCTCTTTTCCTCCTCCCACAAAGCCACAGATATTGCAGTGCTTTGGGCTTGACATATTCCTTTTAGTTTCGACTTGTGTCTTCCTTTTCCAGGTTGAGAGAGATTAAAAAAATACATTATTCTCTTTCTTTTCTTAATTTTTCAAGACAGCTGGACTATCGCCCAGTCATATTGGCAAATCACACCCCTAATTTATGCAGGAGATGATAAAGCTCCATCCTTGCTGATTTTTTAGAAGCATATGGAATAAAAAAGTGCCAGACCCAGCTTTGCACTCCAGGAACGTGTGGGAGAGCTTACCAGCACTTATGGGGTAAAGGAAAAGGAGTCATGACTGAAACTCATAAAATAGTCTAAGTTTTCTTTCATTACCCTCACTTTTGGGTATTTTAGGATATATTTCGTAAAGGGCTGTATTTATGAAAATATAATACATTGCTTAAAATGTACTAGGAATCTTGCTATTTAAAGGAAATTCTTTATTTTTTATATTTTGGAAATCTTTTCTGTAAGCCCCCCCTTTTTAAAACCAAATGCATATCATCATGATCTCCAGTGATTTTGTTTGGTTTTATTTTTGGCAAGTAGAAATAGTTTCAATTCTTGCTTTGCAATTTGGATGCCTATTTTCATATGAATTTTAAAAATTGATGTTTAATAATTGTACCTATTTATGAGGTGCATAGTGATGTTTTGATGCATATAGTGTATAATGATCAGATCAGAATAATTAGTATATCCATTATTTCTAACATGTATCATTTCTTTATGTTGGGAACATTCAATATCCTCCTTCTAGCTATTTGAAACTATATATCACTGTTAACTATAGTCATCTTACAGTGCTATAGAACACTAGAACTCATTCCTCCTATCTAGCTGTAATTTTGTATCCTTTAACAAATCTCTCCTTCTCTCTTTCCTCTTTTTTAACAAAGGCTATTTCCTATTTATACTCATAAGAATCTCGCCGGGCGCGGTGGCTCAAGCCTGTAATCCCAGCACTTTGGGAGGCCCAGACGGGCGGATCACGAGGTCAGGAAATCGAGACCATCCTGGCTAACACGGTGAAACCCCGTCTCTACTAAAAAATACAAAAAACTAGCCGGGCGAGGTGGCGGGCGCCTGTAGTCCCAGCTACTCGGGAGGCTGAGGCAGGAGAATGGCGTAAACCTGGGAGGCGGAGCTTGCAGTGAGCCGAGATCCGGCCACTGCACTCCAGCCTGGGCAACACAGCCAGACTCCATCTCAAAAAAAAAAAAAAAAGAATCTCGTAAAGTTGGATTTCAGTTGAGCATTATTTAATTCAATGATAATTTTTTTAATTTAGAAAATTGAAAAAAAGAACTATTAATTAGTTAAGATTTTATTTTCTACTGTAAGTACAATACTGCTTTCTTTAATGCTCTAATTGTTGCCTGGTGAAATACCCACCACAGAGGAAGTCTTGGATTTCCCTGGACACATTTTCACTCATAATCTATTGTATTTGTTATAATCATTAAACTATGCACAGTTCTTTCAGCACCTGTTAACACTCATTCTCAGAACATCAACTCTCTTCATATTTGAAGTCAATGAGAGCTCTAGTTAATGGGGCAGATCTATTCCCTGGAGGTTATACCTAGTTTTGTCCTAGAAATAAATTTAAATATGTTGCCATAGTTCCAAGTATTAAGCAAGTTTTTATTAAAACAAATGTTCCTATCCACTCAAGTGGACAAAAGCACTGAGCCTGAGCAAGAAAACAAAGAACGCTCTAATCAATCAAGATGGGAGAAATTTCCGGATTAAAATTAGATTCTCTTACTCTACTTGTTTATACATATTGTATGTGAGATAATATAAATCTAAATGCAAACATGGTAGTGACTTGCAAAAATCACAGTGAAATTCTATGATATTAAAGTAGATTATCATTCATCATTGTTTATTCATTGTAGTGAAATATCTATTATATGCTTTCTAGCATATGATTTCCTCTTTCCTGCTAATAACTCTTTGATTTCCTCCAGGAAATACCCCTCCTTAATTTTCAGCCTTTTGCTTTAGGTTGGCCTCTTTCTCTGGGTCAAAAATTAAGCAAATTACCCAGATCTCATCCAACCAGCACATGCATTCTAATGGAGCAATGATTGGCTCAGGGATGGTTATGTGATCCTCTTAGAGTCAAGAAGTTACAATGATGCTTTTTTTAGGTGTGCTGAAATAAATACTCAATTTTTCTTAGTGGGTATGAACCTTAGAGGATTAGTGACAACGACTGGTGTAGTCATTTTTAATCACATGGTAAATGCAGCCAACTACAAGGAACAGGTCCCAGAGAAATAGAGATAATGAAAATAAATGTTGGTATCATCATTTGAGCCCCAAATGAAGATAAACCTGAATATCTATCTCATGACTGCTTAGTTATTTGATGCAATAAGTCTTCCTCTCTCCTGCTTTTTGGCTTAAGTTCTTATCAACAGTAGAAATAATTTATACTGGTATATTCATCAAAACTAATGGCACTGCTCTTGGCACTGGGGATATGAACAGAGATAAAACACTGCTTCTAACTTCAAGGAACTCACAGTCCTTGAGGGAACACACATGCATGTGTGCACACACACACACTGTCTCTCACACAATAGTCTAACATTAGATTTATGCGTGGAGTTTGGTAGCACAGATTGGGGTGAGAGTGGGTCAAAGAAACTTACCAAAAATGTGACATTGAAATTATTTCTTCAAAGAAATGCACATTTAAACCAAATTGGTCTGACTCCCATCTAAGTTTGGATTGCTTCGAAGGCACATGATTTACGTACAAGTACATATGATTTAAGTACAAGTATTAATAATTTACCTGGGAGTTGATCCTAGGAGGCATTAGTGAAGGAGAGGGGAAAATGAGACAAATGGGAGCAAAGCCAGTAAAAGGCACATTAATGAGTAAGTTTCTACAGGCACTGAGACTCAGTCCCATTGTTTTTCTTCGAGACTCCATGTTAGGGAAGGCATGGCATTTATCCATGCCTCCCTTCTCTTATTGGTTGAGTGTTGCCTCTGGTATCTTATTGCCCTTTTTGCACTTTGCACTTTGGTACCTTATTGCACTTATTGGCTTCACCTATGTGCAATGGAATATGCTTCTTTGTTACCAGAGAATGTCTTTAGGAAGAAGAAAACAGGCATATGTTATCAGTGTGCTGGGAATCAGCTGCAGGAAAACTGAGGCGAGCCTAAGGGAGAATAGGTAGCATCAACTTCATCTGCTACAACTCCAATTGTGTGTGGGAATTCTTATCCCCTCTCTAGTATTTCCATGAATTCCCAGAGACATGTATCTTGACACTTTTCATTGGTTCTGAGTTACTAACTCCAGTGATTGTTCTATCTTCTTGTAGCTGCTTTTTTCCTTCAGTGTGTGTCAAACCCCTTGGGAAGTTCAGTCACTGATCTTTAATTTCCACCGAACACTTATAGAAGATGTCTTTGCAGGGTGTGTTTTGATGGACGTGTGTGTGTAGCACAATCTTCAGAAAATGAGGTAATGGGAGAGTTTTCATCTCTGCAATCAAAATACTTTGAAGTTTAGTGTGACACATTCTTGGTCTTTAAAAGTCCTAGGTTGCTATCCTGGGCTGAGTTCCTTAGAAGCAAAACCTGGGACAGGGATTCTTGGGCA